CACACACACACACACACACACACACACACACACACACACACACACACGTCAGTCACAAGTGAGAAAAAAAACTGCACACATTGCTACAGTAAGTTATAGTATTAACATAATTAGAGCTGAAACAATTAGTTGATTAATCAATTGACAGATCTGCAATGATAAAGTATGTTTTCTTGTCATAAACTATTGTTTACTGAATATCGTAAGGTTCTGCACTGCAGGTCGAACAAACAAGATATTTGAAGACAGGACATTCGGCTCTGAGAAGTTCAGATTGATGTTTTTTCACTATTTGACATTTCATAGATTTCACGATTCTTTGAAAAAAGTAATATGCAGATTCATTTATAATGATTATAAAATAATCTAAAGTTGCAGCCCTTGACCAAATTCATCCAGTTACACAAACAGAGACATACGTATGAACACACATGTATAAAAGCTAAAACATTTCCCAAACATAGGAAAACACGAACGTCGTCATCGCCAGTTAATCTTCTGATGCAACTACAGAGCAATACCAGCACAGACCTGAGAGACCCAGTTTTACTACAGCGAGCGTTTGAGTAACGGCTCTCTGTGCTGTTGGCGCTCCTCCTGCTGTTTCTTCTATTATGAATTCTATTATTAATCCTGGTGGCATACAGGTAGCGTTGAGAGGGTCATCAGACCCGATGTCATGCACATGGGTTGGCAGAGCACAGGATGTTTCATTTCAAAGATGATCCTGTTTCTGTTTTCACTGCATTCCTACAAACTCATTTACAATGTTAACCTTGTCTTAGATTAAAAAATGAGGAGTGCATTAAAAAAGTACAGCCCGAGTCTCATTAGGAAAGATGAAGATTGCACAGCAGCCTGCAATCAGGCCAAACCAGGCTATTGAAGCCATCCAGTCAATGATTTAGATTAGGTTTTCAGCTAAGTAAAATTGTCCAAAAAGTTGCTCTTTGTATCACTTAGTACAGGTTTATCCAGCTGTTTTTAAGACCAAGATATACTTGGTGATTACAAATGTAACAACACACAAAATGAGTGATCACAAAGAGCTACAAGTGACAATAAGGAAAGGGGCTCTTTAAATCGCAGTGTATTTAAACTCGTCAACTCTGGACAGTCTTTTCAAAAAGCTGAGTTTTCAGGAGCGGAAAAAACTTCATACAGATTTAAGCTCAAAATTGCGAGAAGGATGCATTTTCAAACGCATCCGGATTAGTGTGGACATCATCTAAGCTGTCATTTTTTTTTTTTTTTACAGTTCCTTTCTTTTCTTTCTCCCGTACACACTCTCACAAAATATACCAGACTGCAGTCCTCTCAGACTCACTGGGGGCCTTGATGGCATCTTTCCAACATATCAGCTTAGTTAAGTGGCAGAAATTCACAGCAATGCCTCTTGTAGCATGCGCATAATCTACTGTCTCTTCTCAGAGACAGATATGGCAGTGTGTTTGTGTGTGTGTGTGTGTGTGTGTGTGTGTGTGTGTGTGTGTGTGTGT